TCTAACCCAAAAGGAAAGGGGAAGGGAGGAAGGGAAGGAGAAGGGACAGAGAGAGAGACTGATTCATGCAATATTTCCATCCAATTTGCTTGGATAAATATTTAGTTAGTGTATTTGTATGTGTGAGTGTGTATGTTTGTTTATAGGGTGAAACAAACAAACAAAAAAACCCTAATTCTCATGAACAAATAATCTACAGTAGGGATGGAAGCACCAAAGTTATCATGTCCCCAAGTTTCTTTTCCCTTTTGTTCCAACATCCTTGTTTCTAATATCTTGAAACTATGTGCTTTCTTAGGATCTAAAATGTTTCAGGCACATAAATTTCTCATTAAAGTTTTTTTTTTTCATAAGAAAATATAAGTGTGTCTCTAACAGTTTTTATTTCAAAAACCTTTCCATCAAAAGATTAATTTGATAACCACTTCATTCAATGACTCCTTATCTGGGTGGGACTGAAAGTAGGCCATCTTCAAATGCAAATTTACAGGGTGCTATGAACAGACAGAAATTAAAGCAGAACCCCAATTCTTCAGCTTTTCAGGAAGGCAGGTAGCAAACATCTGACTCAAATAATTTCCTATGAATCATTTGTACAACTCAGTCAAAATATGTTTCTGCAATAAATTTTGAGATTATTCTTTTATTTCCAGGAAGAAAGCAATAAATGAAAAAATCTAAACTAGTTTTCCCAAAAATCATGTAAAACAAAATACAAAGTAATTGTGAAACAGAGACAAATTGCCCCACCAACATAACTTTATTTTTTTGATTTGTTTGTTATTCTCCTCCATCACTGTTCATTTGTGTACAATATTTGATTTTTCCCTTCATGTGTAGTCCCCATTACTCTGCCACCACCATGGCGCCCATGAACTATCACTATAGGCATGTAACCTAGGTGCACAAAGCACACTCTACCTACAAGACCACCCATATGCTTTTAGAAATCCACGGGGTATATTCATCAAGGCATATTCTAAATGGGTTTTCAGCACAAAATTTATATATAGTATAAATCCTACTTCACTGAATAATTCTTCAATGTTATGTCAGCTGTCAAAGGAGTTCAGTTATAGTTTACATTGATTAAGTTTCTCTTAAGAATAAGGACATTTTCTAGATAATGTTACTCTTTGACTTAAAGCTTTTTCTGCAATTCTCCAATACAGTTAATTGTCGCTCTCTTGACATTCACAAATATAGGGCCCTAAGATTTGAGACAGTGGAGATAGAGCCAGGGTTGACCCTTAGAAAATATGGGAAGCTTTCATACTTAAGGTACATTTTTACTTATATGTCAACACCAAACATCAAAAAATAATGTAAAGAGCCAAATGTGATTTTAATTTTCCAGTGAGATCAGGTCATTCTAAAATACCAGGAGTAATCTTTTTCTAATACCATGTGGAGCTAAATGCAATCAAGGCCTGGTGGGCTTCAAGAGAGGCTGCTACCATTCCTTTAAAGAATGAAGATTACACAGAACTAAAGTCATATCAAGAAGTAGAGTTTTTAGCTGAGAAATGTATCTTAAGGCAGGACAAACATCTAGAGCATTTGGTTTTGTCATACGAGTCACCTTCTCCTCATCATGGAGTATCCTTTCTTTCCTTGATGGCTTATGCCCCTGACCCATTCCTTAACTCAGGAATGAAAATCCTCAGTCTGTCTCATTACTCTAGAATTTACAGCCTTATAAATTCTCCATATGTATGTAATTAAATTTGTTCTCTTTCTCCTACTAATCTCTCTGATATTAATTTGTTTCCTCTACAAGGCCAATAGAACCCAGAGGAAAAGGAGAATTTTCCTACTGTACCCCCAGAAATAGTCTCTTTTATTTCATTGTCGGAAGAATTAAATGGTATAATTAAGACCATCCTTCTATGAATTTCACACAGAGACTGTCAATTTCAGTTATTTATCATTATAAATATAATTATTAAAGCCATTATCTCATATTCAAACATACTCACCTTCTTAATCATATTGTTTTGAAAAGAAAACGTAATTTCTTTCACTGCTGAACATAGCTTTGGAGGAAGGCAGACAATCTGCCCATTCTATTCCAAAAACTTTCTTCATTTTGCATTCAGCTACATAACATTAAAAATTGGTGGGGAAACTGTTTAACAAAAAATATGTTTTCTTTTTCTATTTTGATTATTGATGTTTTTGCAAAATCCCTAAAATTCCTACTGGAGTACAAGTCTTAAATTGACACCTGTCAGAGGCAGCCACCCTACCAATTAATAGCAAATCATTTTGCTAGTAAATCCTGGCAACAGACCTATATTTCTGCAGAAAAGAGCCTCCAGAATCTCATGAATTGCTTTTTCCTCAGAGGGCAAGAGAAATGAACCTCTATATTAGCAGAAAGACAATATTAAACAGCTGCTCACAAGTCTCTTTCCAAAAGCACTTGATTTCTATAATAAACAGAATTAAATTGTGTCCATTTCTGGTCCTAAACAACAGGACTGGGTTTTAAAATGTAGACCAGGCACATAAAACACCACTGTAAAATCCAGCCTCTGTCATAAAGAGGGTAGTCTAGGGAAATTCCAGATTGAAATTGTGAGCCAGAGCTTATTAACCAACCACTTTAAGAGTACAGAGGCAAGATTTTAGTTGTTTGTTTGTTTGTTTCTGAAAAACAATTTTTTTAAAGGTTTTTTTTTTTTTTGACAAAACAACAGGGCTTTTCTTTTTTTATAATTTTTTTTTTTGCCTTACTAATTTGGAATGAGGATAAAATTAAAATTACCATTCTTGATTACATGCCAACACATGTCCTTTGTGCTGAAGTGGCTTTATTCTGTGCACAAACCCCATCAATTAAAATCCAACAGTAGTAGGGACCAAGAGATTTGTTGCATTGCTGTTGAGCAGCCAGGGAGCAAAGTAGGGAATTCTTTTCTTTCTTATATAACCTCTTTTGATGACATGCGTGTAGACAAATTCTGGTGAGAATAGCAGGATTGTTGCCAGGCTCCTTATACCTCCCCCAAACTCTTATAGGCTCAGTTATTTAGCTCTGTGTGCCCTGAGGACATCAAAACTGAGCTCTTGGATGTTATCCACCTAGGACATCATTCCTTTGGTCTATTCATTTTAAGTACTCCTTCTTCAAATGCTTGAAATAAAGAAAGAACTAGAAACCAAAGGAAATAAAAGCAGGAAACCCAAAAAATATTATTTGAATTGCAAGAGGCTGAGGTGTAGACATTTTGGAAAACATCTCCATTGTTTTGTACATTTTTCCCCTCTTTCATTTTGACTAGACTCTACCCTAAACTAAAAGAGAAATACAATGATAATAATTTAGGCTTACAAACCTGCAGAAAATGTTTGCCCCTCAGATTACTAATTCAAGTATGAGTGTCTAGGAGAAGATAATGAAAAATAACATCCTGAATAAGAACCTGACCATTCAGAGACAAGCATTGCAATGGAAAAACTGAGTTATTAGCTGGATCATCTAAACAAGTGAAAAGATTTTGTTATCATCTAGCTGCTATGTAATTAAAAACTACTTGTTTCAGGGTGATCTCAAATTCATTTACAGTGTGTTTCAGTTACTTAGTCTCTCAACTTGACTAGCAATAAAAAATAATCATAGCAAACATTTATATTTTTAATATAGATTTACTTTCATAAAATATATATGCATTATTACTAGAATACAAAAAAAGTATTGAAAATATCGAGACATTGAGGAAAGCATAAAAAGTCTAGCCTCAGTTAAAAATTAATTTAAATAAATAAATAATAATGCTTTGACAATCATAGATGTGTTATATGCCCCCTAACAATATAGAGTGAAATTATGTATTTTCTCATTACTAAGTAAAAATAGTAATACCTTGAAATTAAAAAAAGAAAAATCGGGCCTCCCCCGTGGCGCAGCGGTTGAGCGCTGGGTTGCGAAGCTGCCCGCAGCCTCTGCAGCACCGGTTCGATCCCTGGCCACCGGCAAGGGTCCCACATGGCGTGCAGACCTCTCCTGCTGTGCCCACTGCTCCCCTCAGCAGTGTACTTCATCAGTCTGCCTACACTGCTCTCCCCTCTGGTTCTGGTGAATTCTCTCACCCTCCCACGTTTCTGACTGTACCCAGTGCTTATATAAATAAATTAAAAAATCTTAAAAAAATAATAATAATTTATTAAAAAAAAAAGAAAAATCCTGTGACATTAATTCAAAAGGTTCAGTTGGGTGTTTTTGAGACTTACAATCTATTATTTTCTATAAATAAATATTAAAATTGAATTAATTCAATGAACAATTATATATCAATTGTTTTTCTAGATCCTTTGTTCCTTTTAGATCCATTATGTTTAAGGAGTTTATTATAAATAGACAGAAAAAAGTTGTGTTATGTATGTCTAAATATATGTTCATATATGCATGAACACAGGTATGCACACACAAAGACTCATGTCACACATTATTGGTACGCTTTAGTAGGGTTGCAAACAATAAATCTATTCTATGAGTACAGTTAGAAAAGGAATATATTAAAGAGTAGGTGGCCCCAGACTTTTTAGAATTATGCTTGGAGGCTACAGAACCAGGGGACAGTTTATTTTTTTATTTTTTTATTTTTTTAAAGATTTATTTATTTATTTATTTATACAAGCACTGGGTACAGTCAGAAGCATGGGAGGGTGAGAGAATTCAGCAGAACGGGGAGCAGAACAGGCAGACTGACTAAACACACTGCTGAGGGGAGCAGCGGGCGGCAGGAGAGGTCTGCGTGCCATGTGGGATCCTCGCCGGTGGCCGGGGATTGAACTGGCACTTCAGAGGCTGCAGGCAGCTTCGTAACCCAGTGCTCAACCGCTGCGCCACGGGGGAGGCCCTGAGCCAGGGGACAGTTTACAGAAAAAAAACTAGGTATTGATAATGGTCACAACCATGATGGGCCCTGCTACTTTTGCTGTAAAAACTGAAATCTGTCCTCCAGATTATGACACAATTGCCAGAAAGATCTTACCAGTGCCTTCTTCTCCATGTAAGAGTCTTCCAAATAGAATGCTTGAGCTGTATGTCTCACTGACAGCACTTGGGTCATATATCTTTCTTTCAGCTACACAACAATCAGAGGAAAGAGACTTCTACATTGGAGTGGTGGGATTCTAAGGCAAATTCAAAAACAAAAGAGGAGGTTTTGAAATCTGCTGATGGACACACACACAAAAATGACAAATATGCACTACTATCCATGTCTTGACCACCACCTAATATCACTTTCATTTTTAAATTTCCAACCAAAGAAAAATGCTCCAGTCAAATTTATAATAACTTTTATGAAAATACAAGTATCTGCACTGTGAATAAGTGGCAAACCCAAAGTAGCATAGGTTTCTGCATCCATTTTCAAACCTAAGATACCTTGATGTGAGCCATTATTCTAATAAGTCCATCATAATAACACCTTTACATTATTCTCTAACTTATGAACTAAATTTTGAAATAAAAATCTATAAACAGAGTAATAGATGGAAGGGAGAGAGGAAAATATTACTAAATGTGTGTAAGACACAGTAGGGAATAAATAGATCCTCCATCCCTCATTCAACTTTTGATTTTCTTTCCTGCTATGTATTAAATGTTTCCCCTCACCCTAATCCCCCATCAACTCCTTGACTGTTTAGGGCTCTTTCTAGGCATGATAAAACAAATTTTATTCCTTGGATTGAAAGGCCTTGGTGGTCCTCCACTCTGTACCTATCAACTGAGTTTTCCATTCACTTTTCTATAATAGCACTACAAAAGCCAGATATTTTTTTCTGTATATCCAACATTTATTCTTGTACCCATTGTGTACATTATCTTTGATAATCAGAGTCAATCACCATAGCAATATTCTAAAACCCATTCTTAATCTATTCACTAGAGCCTTGCAATTGTCATGAAATTCAGCTCAGTGCTACAGGCACATTGCTAATGGAAATTTTCCTTACTTGAATATTAAGACTTCCAAATTAACAAAGCCAAAGGGTATTAGACAGTGAATTATAGTTTTTTGTTGTTTTTTTTTTTTTTTTTGTTAGTGGGACATATGGCATAAAGTAACACATGATACTTTCACTGTCTTTCTGTTCCCTGATCTTTAGAAGGAATAGCACCATATATTATTTAGTGACGCATAGCAAGTGCCATAGTCTATCAGATGGTAATCTAGCCACATAAGATTGGTGCTATCTTGTGTCTTCAGTAACCTTATACACACTTCTCAAGACCAGTAGCTTTACAATAACAGAATATAGAGCTAGAACTCTAAATTCACTTAGTATTCATCTAGCCTGAACCAGTTCCATGGCCAGAAAGACTGGTACATGAAATATCAAAATGGCAGACAGCACATTCATCTAGTCCACAAATATTGTTCCTGGAGGGAGGAGCAGGATGGGAAAAGAAAGAAAGTAAATGCAAATTTCTCAATCCAAAATAATAATTTAGGGCCTCCCCTGGTGGCGCAATGTTTGAGCGCTGGGCTGTGAAGCTGCCCGCAGCCTCTGCAGCACCGGTTAGATCCCCAGCTCTCTGTGAGGGTTCCACATGGCATGCAGACCTCTCCTGCCGCCCACTGCTCCCCTCAGCAGTGTATTTCGTTGGTCTGCCTGTTCTGTTCCCCGCTCTGGCTCTGGTGAATTCTCTCACCCTCCCGTGCTTCTGACTGTACCCAGTGTTTGTATAAATAAATAAAAAAATCTTTAAAAAAATAGTAATTTATTCCAATGAGATAGAATTACTGTCCAATTCATAGTAGAATAAGTTCAGTGTAATCAACATATCACTAAGAAAGTTGTCTATCTCTTCCCAGCTAGTTCATACTCTACTGTCTCTGAGATTTCTAATACTAGCAAGATATGTAAAAGTGCGTTATAGGAAGGACAAGTTGATTTGGTACATAACATCCACAGTGAAAATAAGAATGAGACCACATACATGGTTATTGCTATTATTAGTTGGATAATCCTTTCTTTCTGAATATTAATGATATTTACATTGAGAGTCTTCTGTTGATTGTTTAAATGGGAAACAAATAGTTTCACTCTAGGTACATTTTGTTATCGATCCTCCTCAATGTACCTTGATAGCAGTCTTCCATTCTTGTTCCTTCTATTTCATGCCAATACATCCAAATGGATACATGCCAACATCCATGAATTAATATGAAAGTTATTTCAGACCTTCCAAGATAAATGTGCAGTGATATTGCTCAAAATTATTTCCATTAGTATATTAATACTTCTCCACTGTCAGTGACATCCATGAGTATTATTTTAAAACAGTATCATTTTTTGATACACTACACAGGACAGTTGATAAACCAACCCACACTCACTTTTTCCTCCTCTGTTAATAAGTCATTGGAAACTTCTCTTGAGATCACATATGAATTAATGGATGGATGAATTCATTTGATGTTGGAGTATTACTGGACATGCCTAAATGTATGGCTTGACCCATCACGTAACATCCAATGCATGATGGTAGGGTCTCTTCCAAACAAATCTCTTGAATGCTTCTAATTGGCAGTCTTCTGATTTCATGCCTAGTTGCAAGAAAGACAGGAAAGTAAATTCCTCATATTGGCCTTGAGAAGACAGGGCTTACAATGAAAAAATTCACCTAAACATGAAGGGACTAAAGATAAAAATGTACAGAGGGACTAAAGATAAAAAAGTGTGCATTGCCACATACCCATAGATATTAAATGGAAATGACATTGACATTCTAATTTAAGATATTGGAGGCAGGCCTCCCTGGTGGCGCAGCGGTTGAGCGCTGGGTTGCAAAGCTGCCCGCAGCCTCTGCAGTGCCAGTTCGATCCCCAGCTGCTCCCCAGCCCCTGGAGGAGGGTCCCACATGGCGCACAGACCTCTCCTGCCGCCCGCTGCTCCCCTCAGCAGTGTACTTCAGTCTGCCTGCTCTGCTCCCCGCTCTGGCTCTTGTGAATTCTCTCACCCTCCCTTCTGAGAATCAAATAAGAATATATTACGTACTTTTTTTTTTTTTTTTTTTTGGTAAAAGAGAGTCTACACACAAACACATATTTTCTGATCTGGAATATTCTCTAAAAGGAAGCTCTAAAAATCCACTATAGAGAATAATTCATTTATTTGTTATTTATAATATTTACAGTAGCTGACATATTGACTAATATTTACAGTAGTTAACGTGTTGACATCATTGCTAAGCCCTAAAATTAGAAAAGTGAGCTTGCATTCCAATAAGAAAGCATAAAGAATCACATAATTTGAAACCAGACTGAGCTTTATGAAACATACCCTCAAAGCATAGCCAAACACTAAGCTACTCCCAGAAAATGAGGCAGCTCTGATGCTGAATGAACAAAAGTAAGCAATGACAACAGAATTAAAGATAAACTCCATTTTAAAAAAAGCAACAACAGAATTGCAGTGTCATTATATAAACATTTGTTTAGAAAAGCAGAGTTATATTGTGTGACCCTAATTTCTAATGCATTCCTTAATAGTAATTAAAGAGTTTAAGGAGATTTCTTGGCTCTTACTGGCCTCTAATGTGTTGCAGACGCTGATTCTGTGGTGGCTAAGAGCCAGAAAAGGTAGAAGAATAAAATGAAAATGACAGTCACTGATTTCCTAGTCCATGGATCCAAGTTAAAAATTATTTCCAGGTCAGGCTTCTAGCCTTGTAAAATATTTTTCTGGCTATAGTTTTTTAAAAGATCCCATATCAGATATTATCTTTCTAACTATTTAGCTACCTATCTATCTAGCTTTTCTATATATCTACCTACCTATTTATCTACTTGCCTGTTTGGGAACATTTTTTAAATCAAGCATATTAGGAATATAACTTACAAACAGTAAAAATAATTAATTTTAAGTGCAGAGTTCTATGACTATAGATGTATATATTTTAGATTATACATAAATGTATAAATATTACATTATTTATATAAATTTTGGCAATTGTAAACATACATGGAACGAACTTCACAATCATAATCAAACTCGTTCATCACCTTAAAGTAATATCTGTTCCACTTTCCATTTAACCTTCCCCTAACTCCTATCTATGTTTTCCTATGTATAAAATCTAACATTTTATTTTCAACTTTTTAAAATGCAATAAAAACTAACATTTGTATTCTAAACTTCTAGGTAGAATTTTCTTTGTTTCTGTAATCCTCCTGAATTTATCTTCTCATGGGAGCTAATGACCCTCAGAAGGTTAAAATCATTCTGTATTTGACAAAAAGTAATTATATATACATTGATGTGTATTGTTGTTAAATCTTTAAATGTACCTTTATGCTTACCATAGGAAAAATTCACCTAAAATATATCTATTAACATCAATATTACTGTTTATTTACTTCATGCCAATTAGTACCAGCCTCAGAATAAGGTGATAAAACATTAGATAAAATCCCTGTCTTCATGTGAGTTACAATCTAAGTTAACAAATTCACTATAAACTAGTGAATCTAATGTTGAGATATATTTGAATCTAATATATGAGATACATTTTTAACACCATGTTGAATCTAATGTATGAGATGCATTTTTTAATATATCTAACATTGAATCTAATATATGAGATATATTTTAATACCATAAAAGTGACAAAACTGTTTCAGCTGTATAAAATTTCCATTATTTTACATACATGCTATTAAATGTATATGATCAATACATACATATGCTAATAATAATTTCATGTTTTAGAAAGGTGATTTTTTTATTTTTAAATTATTGACCTCATTCAATAATTGGATGGTCTTGCACAATTATGACCTATATCCACACACACAAAATAGTATTGAAGATTCTTCTGAGATTTTTTCTCTCCATAAAAATTCTTAGCAAAATAAATGGCACTAAAACTCTTCCACCAAAATATTTTCATTTTCTTTCAAGTATCTGCTGTTACCCATGAATTTGACAGTTGAAATGATTTTTAAACTTTCTGCTATTTCCTATAATTCTCTGACATTTTTAAAAACCCTTTTAAAAATTAAAGTTTGTTATGTCTTTTTTCTCTGAGCAAAAAAAGTTTAAATCAATTCTAAAGCAAATTATAGAAATGACTCAAATGAATGTGTGCAAGCTAGAGAGCAAAACAGGCACAGTCTGCATTATATGTTACTTGATGAAATAGAAATGGATGATAAACTGAATGAAAAAAATATACAAGCGAAGATGGAATACAGCCAAAGAGCTAGTAAATGGAAGGCTGTAATTAAGCAGGCACCTAGTGGATTAGAGGAAATTAGACCACTGCTGCTATGTTCCTGCTGCCAGAACAGAATGCTTTTTAACTCAAAATAGTCAACAGTCTACAAAGAAGACTGTAATTATATATTTTTAATTTTATTTCACAGGGTATGATTGCAGAGAAGATAGAATCAACAAAAATTGAGAAAACTGCCTACTATCAATGATATTAAGTCTGATAAGGCTATCTATGTGAAGAGTTATTAAATTTAAAGTTTGAAAGTTGGGTCATGTATTATTTTAATTCCAGTCATGTGGTATTCAGTCAAAGCCTCCCAGATAGGAATCGAAGGTAAATATGTGAAGAATTTCATTGCCAGCCTCCTGCACAAGAAACATCTGGCACCATAATCCTAAAATAACATACATAGAGAGCAAAAGCCTTGAGCTGAATAAATAAATTCAAAGCATCTCAGGCTAGAGCATCTACATTTTGAATTAACCCTGTTTATTTAGAAACTTTGATTGGGGACCAGTTTTCAGGAAAATATAAACTCAAAAGAAATTTCAGGAGATTTGTCTATTAGCTCCCTCTTCTTTTTATGTATTGTCCAACCCTACCACCTATGAACATGTCTATGATTTCCATTCAGTTATATACTACAATGATTTCTCCAACTGTAGGTCCTCACAATCCTCCTCAGTCACTTCAGTTTACTGGCTTTTATGCCAGAAACACACATGATAACTTAAATGCCAATAGTTAAATATATCATACTTTTATGTTCCACTTGTTCAAAACTGAAACATCTCCTTATTGCAAGTGATATTACAATTGCAATTTAGATCATAAAGGATAACAAAGCCAAAGTTCTCAGGAAGCTGGGGAAGAGTTGTAGAAATCAATATCTTAACCTAGCATAATCTCTGGTCAACCCTTTCTTTTTCTTTTCCTCCACCAGATAATGTAACAGAAAAGTCACACTGGGACCCTTCAGTCTGAGCCCAATCTCCAATAACAGAGGCTGATATATGCTGTTTATATCAGCTGCTTCCACTGTTCCACCTGGTGGGAATCAGAGGGATGGTCTGGAGGGGTCCCCCTCCCAATCCAGAAAAGGTTCTTGACACCCTCTGGTCAAGACTGAAAACAGGATTCTGTAGCTACCAGTGAGGGCATGCAGGGAGTCCATGCTTTATTGATTAGTGGAAGAAGAAAGAAGAAAGGGCGGGCTCAGGGGAGACTTCTTCTCTATGCATGAGAGTCTGTTAGGTATCAGTGTTGAGGGTCTATATAGGTTTTAGGACTGGGGTTTGAGAACAAAGGAATTATACTTTATTAGCTGAGAAAGCAAGAACAGTGGACTTAGCTAAAGTCTATTTATCGTTGCTAGTTATGAGCACCAATAAGCTACACCTGGTTGGTGGTACTGAGCTTGTGATTATCTCCAAGGTGACATCTCCTGGAAACTGTGTACCTGCAGCTCCAGAATAAATTAGTCTGATCTCAAGGTCTGTGACTCTTTTGGGTCTATGACTCATCTTTACTTGCATAGCAGCCAACTTAATAGGCTGTGGAAAGATAGCTCAGAATGGTGAAAAATTGGTAAGAAACACAATGGACCAAGGAAATTTATGACAGCAGATGTCTGGGAATAGAGTCATCAGGTTTTTAACCTCTTGTTTACCAGCTTGTAGGAACAGCAAAATTGTGTCCTTGAGTTCTGTGATGCCCTTGTCCTGGGACCCTTCCAGTCTCAGATATATCTATGACTTTTCCACTGCCACCACAAATTACAACACCAAATACTATATATTGGCTATTTTGACATAAGCAGTTTTAAAAATATGGTGGGCAAGTCAGTCTGTCTTCATAGACTGGGCTCCCATCCTTTGAGATTGCCATGAGTACCTGTCATCATGACAAGGTTTGCAAATAAATGCAATTAAGATGTAATACTATCAACAGAAAGAAAAATTGCTAATCATTGTCTAAATTACTCTGAAGTTCTTAGCTTTGTGACCTGTTTGGTGTAACCTAACGGTAGTTAAATATGGGCTATTGAGTAACAATTCCCAAAAGAAAGACAAAGAAAAATATCTGCTTTGGAAAGGAAAACATTTCTGTTACAAATCAATCAACAAAGTATTATTGAACACTTATAATTATATAATTTTAGACTTGGAAGGCACTTTAGGGATGATTTAGCTAAATACTTTCATTTAAACTATTGCATCCTTGAGATATAAAAACAATTTACATAGAATAAATCAAGTTAAAGTGAGAAGAACCTTATCTCCCTAGTTTCTAATGAAATGGAGGAATTTTTCAATTCAGGAGCAAAGA